TACATATACATATACATATACATATACATATACATATACATATTTATATACATATACATATATATACATATAAATATATATATATATACAAATATATGTATATATATATAAATTTATATATGGATATACAAACACACTGCACACGCTACGGTACAGGCTCCGTCAGACTATTATTCTCATATAACACCAATAGTATACATACGACTGATACGAACACGGTTCCAACTATGAAATATCCCATCTGTAATAACCGTATGAAATTCATAGCTAAAATTACAACAGAGGATAGGTACTTCATGTGATACTGTGATTCGCGAACACGCCTATTCCTGACGGAATTGTGACACTTTATATCATAATACGACACTGTCGTATGGCTACGCTGGTACGATAGGAGCGCCACAGCACTCACCCGTACTGCAGAGTACAGTTTAAAACATACGAAATACATTACGTTTGGCCATGCAAGCCCACAAGTATCGTACATTGTTTGGTCCAGAGAAGTAGCGAGGGCGTTCTTAATTAGCAACGCCGTGCTTTTTGGCGAATCTGTAATGTAAATAAATATCTTTGAATCCAGAAAGCAGCGTAGACATCGATAAATATGTATTCAGAAAGCTGAACAGACGCATGATTTTGCAAAGCTAGATCCAAGTTTAGGGTTTTTAGGTTCTAGTGCCGTGCGATATGCTATTTAGATTTACACGGCTGATTTGTGAGATATACATAGCCTGTCTCGTTCACTTGACAGTTGACACTGTGCGAGTTAAGTACTTAGGTTAGCGGTGAAAGTTTATTAGTAAAAAGGGTGTGGCGGTTAAGCGGTTAAAGTTTATTGGTAAAAAGGGTGTGGCGGTTAAGCGCGAGAACGTCGCGCTGATTTTGCCTTATATATTAATGATATTTAATGCAATCTACTGCTATTTATGCTATATTTTATGCCTCAACTACTATGGTATATTAACCCCCCCTTTCCCCCCCTCCCCTGCCGGAGGCCAGCGTCACATGTGTATGACGGCACGGCGAGTGTCAATACTTAGAGATCACACGATTATAGCCTTCTATATCAAACACCAACGAAGCTACACCACTTCAGCGTTTTAAGGTTTGGCCAATAATGAGGAGGTGTGTGTCAATCTGGAATAATCCAGTCCGATTGACGTGCGTGCAACTCTACAGTGCTACTGCTCCCACAGCAATGGCAACTGTCGCTGACCGTGCTACTGATAGGAACTGCCGTACTACAAATATCATAGTAGCTGACGGTGACTGCCGTACTACTGATATCATAGTAACTGACGGAATTTAGTAGCTGTAACTGAGCGAGAATTAATTAGTAGTCGCAGTCTTTCCAGGTGCTGTCGGAGTTCCATTTGCGCCGGATGAACTCTTCCTTGGCTTCCGAACATTTGGCGGCCGTTGACGATGTTTTATATTCAACGGAGAAGATGCCTTTGTTCTGTTGGGTGAACGGCTTGTACAGTCCACACTCTGATTGCGATAAAGAACAGAGCAAAAATATGAGTATAGGCCAGGTAATATGCTACCTTGTTTGAAAGATTAGTTGTAGGTAAGTACCGAACTTTCATGTAGCGTCGTGCATATGATGCCAGATTAAATGCTACATATATATATACATACATACATAAACCGAATACGCTGCAGTACATGAGAGCAACGTAAATGTGATCGACACAAGAACAGCCCATTAAGTCTCTTAGACACACTTACCGTTGTAATTGGCACACTCCTCAACGATGACCTGTGTGCAAGGACGACAGCGATTGGAGGGATAAGGGGTAGAGGGGTTTAGGTTTAAGGTTTACAGTCAGAGAATGCACGGCCGCCCACAAGGGAACACATATCACACGATACTCGCGCAAAACAATGTCCAGAATTCGGCTCGGAAAAAGAAGCACTGACAGTAACCATGGCAACACCTGGTGGATGTTCTAATCTCCACTTGACAAAACGTGTATGTGCATGCCATATATTGAAGTGTAGTAGGTGCGTCTATGTTAATCTCTGATGGGGCACTTGACATGCCAAGACGTGTATATGCATACTTGGTATTATGAGTATCGATATAAATAGCCATACCATGTCAAACCAATCGACGAGTTGGTACACCAGATCACCTGCGTTCTTCAGTGAGGATATCATGCCGTATTTGTGGGCCGTGTCTGCTAGCCATTTGTTGTAGTTGAGCTGTGAGAAAGATTCATTACAAAGTCCTATTTGGTTTAGTTTGGGGCTGCTGGCTTTACAGCAGACATAACAATCTGGACAACATTGTAAATTGGGGCGTAGATGAACCCGCCCCCCCCCGCAGACAAAAGAAAGCGATGAACGATAGATGATGCAATGTTGTGGCTGACAAATATCACGGACGTAACATGTTGCATTTCATCTGAGTACTTCGATATCTGTAGACACGATGATCTGTAGACTAGAAGTGACAGCATATATATATATATATATACACACACGCACATCTATATATATATATATATATATATAATACATCAGTACCACTGTAATGTTAACAGATGAGGTGAAGTACTTGTCTGCCTGACAGCTATCTGACTAATGAGAACATAGAACGAAAACTCGCAGCATACCTGATACCCCGTCAAATCAACTTTGTCCATCCCCGAGACGCATTTATTAATGAAGCAATCAACATTGTCATTCTCTATGCTACAGGGTTTAGAAAAGTATAGATGAGCGTACGAGTTTGGTAAAAAACTCATATATACATGTACACATATACATAAACATAAGCATACATATAAATATATATAAACATAAGCATATATATATATATGTATATATACATATATATATACATATATAAATAAATACACACACACTCACACGTATATATATATACACACTATATAACAAATACACTATCTATACATATATACATACGATATATATATATATATATATATTTGTATACATATATAAATAAATATGTATGCATAAAACCCTAAGACAAGTTATCAGCGGAAGATCTGTGTACTATCATTCCATTCATAGTTTTATGGTTTTAGAGCATTAGGGTGTGCTACCCGTGACATATACACCCTCCCCAACCTACAATGGCTGTATATGCATAACTATTCCCTTGGGCGTGTACAAACCCCAAACCATTCACTCAGTTCGCATCTCATTGGCCAGCTATAAATAGCGCCCACTCCCACCACATACCCCTGACAGCCCTTATCTCTGGCCATCTGAAAGCGCGGCTCCATGAGCTCCTCCAGTTCGAATATCTTAGAGATGTCGAACCACTTCTCGCCAGCCCAGTCTTCCATCGCCAACCCCAACACAGAATCAGGGAACGTGTTCGCATCAGGCCGCCATGACTCCAGCGTGCCTGCGCTTATATAGCCTGTGGGAGGCACGGGGTTTTATGGGAGGTTGGGGTATAGGGTTTAAGGCGAGTTGTAGATGTAGCATGTTTGAAAGCAGTATGGGCGTAGTATTAAAGTAGCCTGTACACACATAAGAAGATACACATGGCAAGTGCCATAGCTTGTGAGGGGCAGGCATCGGCTTGGATGAATGTTAGAGTGTATTGATGCAACAGGTATATATACCGCCGAGGGTTGGATGAATGGTAGAGTGTATTGATGCAACAGGTATATATACCGCTGAATGTTGCACCTCAGAGCGAAGGTAGTTCGGTACGACTTCGTGTGGGTAGGATAGTGTGAGTATGTTTGTGAGGAGTGAGATCTAGTTTGATCGAATGACAGATGCGCTCATGGTTCAATTCAATGGACGAGATACCTGAAACATAGCAATAAACACAAACTACGGGCCATGTTAACTATCAAAACAATCATCTTTGATGGCAGTATTCTGTAAGAACGGGGCAAAGGCACACTCGAGAAATACGACCCCATGTTGTTCAAACACAGGACGTGCGTACATGGTCAGCACACACACACACACACACACACATACACACGCACATATCTATATGTATATGTAAACAAAAAACACACAAAACAGACACACAGACACACACACGTATATATATATAGATATATATATATATAAATATACACATACACAGACACAGACACACACACATATATATATGTATACACATACACACACACATATATATATGTATACACATACACACACACATATATATATGTATACACATACACACACACATATATATATGTATACACATACACACACACATATATATATGTATACACATACACACACACGCACACCTATATATATACAAGCAAATTCTCTGCAGAGGACATCTTCTTCATACAATGCATATGCAACTTACAAATAACAAAGTGGCCTTCGTCCTGGTACTTTTCAATAGTAGACTTGGATGTGTCGAACATGTCTACAACCACCATATAGTTGTCATCCTTCACCTCGTCTCTGTGTATGAAGTTATGGTAAAGCAAAGATATGTTAGCAATATGGAGCAAACAGCTGACGTAGATGCACGTATACATTCTGAGGATGGCGTGTTTGTTATTAGGTACAAACAACTTTCCTTGTGTGAATTCATAGGCTGGGCAAGTGAGCTTAACACGAGCGAATATATCGTTGTTCCGGCCGGTCAGAAAAACCAGGTTTTATTCGACTGAGCTGCAGTTGAGCTGAACATCGCACAATTATATCTACTAGGCACAAATACACCAGCTGGGATACATATCTGTGACTAAATCAGTTGGTATGTAATATGAAATGATGCAACGAATCTGAGTGCGCATATTCATTCAGTAGGAAATTTCCACACACACACAGCTGACAACACACACCACATAATACAACCTCACCACCACAAACCCATTTGACATCCACCTACTGCCGTACTTCTCATATCCCACACCCGCCACCAAACAAGCATCAATGTACACCAGTCACAACACACACTTTATAACACACATCATAAAACATTGCACAGGACACATTACGCAATTCACACATTAACACACACTTTATATAACACTTCAAAACACACATCAGAACACACACGTTATTTAACACTTCTCAACACACAATACATAACTCACACATCATAACACATACTTTATTTCACACTTCACAACTCACACATCAGAACACACACTTTATTTAACACTTCTCAACACACAATACATAACTCACACACCATAACACTCACTTTATACACAAGTTCACAACATACATTGCACAACTCACACATACTAACACACATTATAGTATAACACTTCACGAGACATATTTCATATAAAACTTCAGAACTCCCATAAATATAACAATTCACACTACACACATCACAACACACACTTCATATAGCACAGTTCATATAACAATCACATTACACACATCACAACACAGTTCGCGAACACGCACTTCATATAACACGTCACACCACACACTTGTAGCCCCAGGCCTCGAGTGTCCAGGATGTGCCTGCTACCGGCGTTGACATACTGGCGCGCACTTCGGCTCTGTGCGTCTCATGTGCAGTGTTGTTGGCAGAGATCACAGCCAGAGAAATACCGGTTGCCACACAAGCCGTGGCTACCACACACACCCCAATCTGCAGTGGTTTTAGATTAGGTATTTCTGTTTAGAAATTGTATGGTGCTTGGTATTTGAGCGTAGAACGGTTCTAAGTAAATGGTTCTATGGGGATAGATCGACACAAGAGTGCAACTGGCACCCAAATCTACAGGGTGTACAGAATAGGCAATTATGTATAGAAGTTGTATGAAACTATAGTTATATATCACAACTGAATATATATATATATATATATATGATGTGTCATGCTGCGTATAACATTGGGATCACATACTTCAAATGCTTACACTAGATCGCGTTTCATAACATTGTGTGACACTATACGAATGCATAGTATTGTCGACTTGCATGCATAGTGCAATGGTAAAATTAGCAACTAAGACCTTAAAATGGTTCAGCCATTTATCATACAATGCAGCAACGACTAAAATCAACCGAATAACATACATTATAACAACAATCGAATCGACTAGAGAATACGTTACCAGAAATTTCTTCGACTTGTACCACAACACATGTTCTTTATCCTCATTGAGATCAGCATTGAGGACAAGCTCCACAGTCGAGGTTTGCATTGTGTATGTATATCGAGTTATCAGGTGTGTGATAGGCAGATCAGCTTAGTGGTGTAGCAGCCAGGAGATTGCAGCTTTATAAAGGTCTAAATAAAGGTCAAACATGAACGTTGAAGCATTCAAGTGCAACTACCCCATTATCAGGTAAGCTTAAACAATTGTGTGTAAACTCAAAACTGTGAATATAATGAATTGGATAAAAAAATTATACAGGAGGCAATAAAATTTATAATAAAACCCGAAAATGGAATTTATTTTCCTGGTATATGGTTGGCCATGGATCAGAATAATTATGGCGCCCAGAGTAGAGAGTACTCATTGAGGTAATGAGTGTCAGTGTATGCTGCAGTCTGCACAGCTGCACACTGCACAGTGAACAGTGTAATTTTTAAAACTATTTCCTAGTATCATTCTGTTCATACACTGTACAGTGTACATTTATTGTACAGTATGTACAAATGACATATGTAGTGTACTACATAGTGTGTTTCACTGTTTTACTGTTATTACTTTTTAGGTCTCTTGCTTACGTCTATGAACTTGTGGTGAGTTGGTGTAGTATGTAGTATGTACATAGTATTTACACAGTGTACAACTGTACATGCTTTATTGATTAGGGTTTGAGCATTTTAGGGGTTTTAACACACTCACTACTCAGTACTCGGTACATAATCGCACTATTTACTTAATTTTGCTACATAGTAGTATAAATATCGACACTACTAGTTACTAGTAGAGTACAGAGAACAGACCATCACCGCAGTCACTACATATCTCACTACTGACTACTATCTGAAGTCTGAACTTTGAAGTCTGAACTTCTTGTGAAGTCTGCCGAGCTGATTTAAGACATAACTTTTCGCTATAACGATATGTTTGGATGATATGTCTTTTATTATAGTCAGATGTACGATATACGTCATGATATTCTCTTTAGAAGACATATAGCGACGAGTCGGAAACTAGTTTGCTACGAAGACGCGTCTTTATCGTATACCAGCAAGCCAGGAAGTCTGAACAGTTGTGGGGCCGTGATTGTTAGCTAACTCACTGATAAATATTGCATATTTTATTAGAAAGAAAGTTCTGTTTATTAATATTTTTTAAAAACAAATGAGATACATTTCACACACTTATGTACATAGTACATGCTGCATTGCTGATACAACATGTGGTGAGAAATCAGAAATGTCACATGAGAAATGCCAGGGCCCCAGCGGCTCAGCCCTCATCACTCATCAGGGTTCAGGGCCTTTAGGCTTCAGGCCCAGCCTCATTCAGCAGGGCGAGGGAGAGTACATATCAGAGAGTCAGGGACTCAGGGGTAGCACCGTTGCAGTCTAAATCTAAAATCTCACTGCTCATTACGTTACGTGTACATGTGCTGAATAAAAATTGAACTTTAACGCCTATTTTCATGACGAAATCTTAAACATGTGTACACTGACAGTCTGACACTCATAGTCATTGTACAGTATTTAAAAAACCCCCAAATTGAAGGCTTTTTTAAAAAGGTAATAACAATATACTCTAGAGTACTCTCTAGAGTCTCTCTACATAGTAGCGGAAACGGTTATAGTTTCTTTATACATTCTCTTGTATGAAAAATTGAAAACACTCAAACACTCAAACAGGGGTAAGGGGTCAGGCACCGCCTCTGGGGCTCTGGGCTCCTGGCTCCTGCGCCCTGCGGAGTGCTCACTGCTCAGTCCTTGCCGAAGCCAAATCCGGGCGGGGATACCCGATACATTCGTATCGGAAACCGCACATACATAAATATACGTTTTTGATTGACTTGTTGGGCGAATTCTTTTTTGTTTATAAAAAAACACTCCTCCGCTCCTTGAACCTCTCACTGATTTTTGAGCTAAACCAAATAATTCTTTTATTGAGTATTTACTTCTGAAATTTTGTCCGAGAAAAGGTTAGAATACTATAAAAAAAACAATAAACATTGGACAGTATATAAATACATAATGTATTTACAGTGGTGAGTGGAGTGTGACGAGTGGACTAGTCTCTAGTTCTCTATCTCTGACTATGCGAGTTTCTATGAGATTGTCAGATAGTCCAAAAGGACAAGGATCATGCCAGGAAACAAAAAAAAGACACATTTTTTTATTCGATGCCCGATGTTCAGTGAAGAAAAACACAACAAATATGTATAAATATATCAAAATCATCTTTACGCGCATTTTGTCAAGTGCTTTTTTTCAAATATGAATCTATAGGTTTTCGTTACTTTTTTTCTGCCTCAAACTATAGCCGTTCTCAAGTGGAGTCATTGGATTTGACAACGCGGCCATAACGATTGTTTGATGCGAGTATGTTGAACAGTATAGGTTTTCCACATATAATGAACTAATACTCAGTTGAAGTACTCCACCTTTAACGATTATATACCAACGTTGCAAAGCAGACCTCGTGCATAGCCGGACCGCAGATATGTCTGATATTTAAAACAAGGAACAGGGGAATTCCACGACGGCACTTCTTAAAACGGTAATATCGTCCTACCAATCTATTGGTTTTCTGGGATATTTTTTTTTGTCTAGATATAAAACTGCATATTACATACCCCGCTGTCCCGCTCTCTTCTCTCTTTTTGTGTGCCAATAAATAACTGTGTGATTGTGCAGATAGTTGAGCCGGGCAGGGGGGGGTTCCCCAATTTTGGCCAGGACGCAAAAAAAACATTTCACAAAAAAAATTGGTGCCGTAAATTGGTGCCGTAAATAGAGTACTAAATTTGGTAGGCTAAAATTTTGGCGCAAAGAAAAATAAAGTTCTGTACATTTACAGGTGACGTTTGATGAGTCATGACTTTATCGCCAATGGACTCAAGACTCTCAACTCTCAAGTCTCAACAACATTTCAATAGCCTTCGTAGGAGGCTATGTTTATTTATATTTATTATTTTTGTTATGATATCTCCTGGTGTACTCACATATGTTTTAAGCATACATATGCACTTTTTAAGGTCACAACACCATATTTACAAAGTTATCAGTCCATTGTAGTATATAAACACATTATTTTGTAGTATAACTACACTCCCGATCCATTGCTAGTCTAAGCACAGTGTCTGTTTCAGTAGTTCTTACAGGTGCAGTCTGTGTATATCGAAACGGAGTGTTTGATTCCGGTTCTCGTATATCCTTCACCCTATACTAGCGGCTGGTCCTGAAACGACATGTTTGGCCGCAGCAAACCACCCAAACCCGCGAAGTCGAACAATGCCGGCTTGGACATGGGATTTGGTAGGTTGTAGTGTGTCATTCATGTCGAGCGTCTAAAATTTATGTTATTTCTATGTTTATAGCTAGTATGCACGCATTCATATCTGATGCAACTGTATTGTGACCACTCATTGTTTCTGCTCTGAATATATGTATATAACAGATCTATTACCTTTCTGCGTGCTCTTGTGGTTCCGTGCGGCTCGCATTGATAGTTCTCAAGCACTCATGTTTAGTATCTAGCTGTAGTACATAGTGTTAGTAGTTACAACCAAATAGTGGAATATCATTGTTATCGTTCGCATAACAAGGTTTCAAAGTATTTACGCTCATCTAATAAATCTATATACATACATACATATATATATATATATATATATATGTATATATATATA